AGACCAACAAAGATGATTAGGGACTGGAGGCTAAAACATATAAGGAATGGTTGCTGGAATTGGGTATGTCTAGTTTAATGAAGAGAAGAACGAGGGGGGACATGATAGCAGTGTTCCAATATCTCAGGGGCTGCCACAAAGAAGAGAAGCTATTCTCCAAAGCACCTGAAGGCAAGACAAGAAGCAATGAATGGAAACTAACCAAAGAGAGAAGCAACCTAGCACTAAGAAGAAATTTCCTGACACTTAGAACAATTAATCAGTGGAAAACCTGCCTCCAAAAGCTGTGAATGCTCCAACACTGGAAAGTTTTAAGAAGAGACTGGACAGCCATTTGTCTGAAATGGCATAGGCTTTCTTGCCTGAGCAGGGGGTTGGACTAGATCAGGGCTTTTCAACCCTTTCACTCTTTCAACCTTTTCACATGGCAATATCCGAGTACCACCAGTCGCCTAGCAAGGTGTCAAAAACTTGATGACCAAAAAAAAAAAAAAGGAAAAAAGTGATAAAGTACAGGTAGTCCTCCACTTACAACAGTTCGCTTAGTGACTGTTTGAAGTTATAATAGCACTAAAAAAAGTGCCTCCAAGCCACAGCCGAGCAAGACACCTGCCTGCCTGCCTGCCCGCCCAGCGGCGCTCTTCCTACTGTCCGAGGTTTTCATTGTTGTGAGCATTTCTGTTGAGGATTGGCAGCGGTAGTGGGGTGGGGGGTGTTTGGTTTTGATTCCCCCCCCCCGTCTGCTCGGTGGTTGCAGCAGGTTTTGGTCACTTCACATAACCCTGGAAGACTGTGACCGTCATAAATATGAATCAGTTGCCAAGCATCTGAATGTAAATCATAAGACCCTGGAGATGCTGCAATATTCCAGCTGATCGGCACTTCTACTGGGCTCAGCAGAAGCGCCAGGATCACGCCGAGCTCCAGCTGGAGCCTGCCGCTGATCCTGGCGCTTCCACTGAGCCCTGACAGCCCTGCAGCTCCAGCCATCTCTTACTCAGGCTTGTGCGGTGCTGCCACTGATTCAGCTCATTCCCCTCCCCCGCTACTTTTCTAGGATGCTCGCGTACCACCTGCCAGGTGCCAATGTACCACAGGTGGTACCCGTACCATTGGTTGAAAAGCCCTGGACTAGATGACCTCCAAGGTCTCTTCCAATTTTATTATTATTATTATTATTATTATTATTATTATTATTATTATTATTGTTGTTGTTGTTGTTGTTGTTGTTGTTGTTGTTGTTGTTATTAAATGTGGGTAATTGTAGTACATTTTATATACCTGATTGTTAATATTATGTCTCTTCATAGTCTTCTTTTTTCAATGTGAATTTCCCAATTTTCTTCCACCTTTCTTTATGGAGAATGTCCCTGTATCATCTTTGCTGTTCCTCTTAATTTATTAATAAGCTCCTGAAAATATGTTCTCCAAAACATACACAGTGCTCCAGGTGTGGTCTCACTAGTATAGGGTAGAGGGAATACAGACTTCACATGTCTTTAATATAGTGCTTCCACTGATGCAGCCCAGAATGATGTTAGCTCTTCTAGCAACTATTTCATACTCATGCTCAAATTGTTTTCATAACAATATGTACACATCTCCAATGTAGTGCTTCCAAGCTATGAGTGTGTAGCCCGTATTTCCCCCCTCCTTAAACATTTCTCTTAATTGAAAGGCATCTTGTACTGAGCTCAATCTTCCAATCTGTCTTGATTAGACTGCATTCTTTTTACTGTATATTTTCCTATATATTGCCAAGCCTTTCAATTTTGTGTCCTACATAAATCTGATAAGCAACCTAGCAATCCCATTATCCAGTTCATTTGTAAAAATGTTGAATAATACTGACCCAAAGATAGACATGGCCGTGGCCCATTGGTTACTGCTCTTCAACTTAATGTAAAGCTATGAATGCCAAATTTCTGAGTGCAGTCAGCCAGCCTGTTATAAGCCCACTTTATTGTAGTGTCTCCAAACCATATTTAACAGCTTTTCAGTGGGAATGCTGGTATCTTATCAAATATATCCTCAACACAGATAACAATGTTACTCATTTAGATATCCTGCATTATTCATAGAATTTTGTGGGTGAGTGCAAATAACAATGCTTCAACCTGTACCTCTCTAAGAACAAAATATCCCCACAATACTGTGTTGCACTAGGAACTATCCATCTGAAAATGTGTAGGGTGGCCATTTTTATTAAATTACATTGCTTTGAAAGGAAAAATAACAAGCTATTTAATATATGCCCTTCCTCAAACAGTTCAAGGCAACCTATATGCAAACGTGGGGAATAGCTTTCATTTTATCTTTACAACAATTCTTTGAGATGTTCAGCCAAGAGATATCAAGCGATCAAAGATCACCCAATGAGCTCCATAGTTAAGCAGAAACTTGTATCTCCCCAGTCCCTTTCTAGACACAATAACACACTGCTTCTGAGTTAAATAGAAGGAGGAAATGTTTAACATTCTACTTTATAATTGAGTTTCTCCTACAACTTTTCCTGGCTGAATTACTTTTCCTCTCTTAAGTGTCCCAGTTTCTTATTTCCAAAAGTATGAGACTCTGAAATGAAGCAGTTTAATAAGTGAAGTATCTAGAAACCAACCCTCTTGAGTGCTCTCCTTTTATAACCTAGAGGATAGAATTACAAACTTCATGAACCAAGATGGAATATTTCCAGAGATTATTAAGTGAAAGGAAAGCTTAGGCTTTTCCTCCATATGTTGGATTTTCCCCTGAAAATTTTTCCCCTCTCAGTTGAGGAAAACATGACTTCAGAGCTGGCTGAGAATCAGATAAAGGACAATGTAAATTAACCACAGGAGAAAGCACTGTATGAAGAGGTTTATTTTATTCCTATTCCTGTACTTCCTTGCAAGTATTTTCATCTGATTTTTTTCTATTTTACCCTCTCTACAAGTTTCAATATTCCCAGCATGCATGGGGAATGATGGGAGTTGTAGCTCAACACATTTTGAAGCAATACATACAGCCAGGCTGCTAATTGTACATTGATGATAGAAGATCTATTGGGGATTCCATGATATGTACAGTCTCTGGGGCCATTTTCTGTGGCAGACAGAAAGACAGAGGCAAAATCAGAGCTCAGGTACCTATTGGGTCCAATATCTCCTATGTGCTACATCCTTACAACATCCTCTCCCAACTGTGATTTTTCAATTGTCGTTGGATTAAACCCCCTTCCCCTGATTATTAACCATGTTCGTAGGAAATGACAAGCACATTTTCATTTAATTTCATTTAATGACTCTTGACTGGAAGCACTATCCTACGACTTTCTAAATTTTACCAGCTTCTTCAATATTCAGTGGGCACTATTGTGTTTAGTGTGATTGAAGCATTCCAAAAATAATAGAGACAAATGAAATGACATTGGCTGCAGAAGGCATATAGTGGGTGAAGGCATACACTCAGACAAACCAAAAATATATTTTAGCTGAGAAAACTCAATCTCAATGTGAAAGATACATTTATTTATTTAAATAAATAAATAAATAAATAAATAAATAAATAAATAAATAAATAAATAAAAGATACATGAGCAAGGAATATGTAAAAGATGCTATCTATGTTGACACCATAGCAAAGAATAAAACTGCATGAATTTTATATGTTACTATTGTGTCTGTCCTATTATGTTACTATTGTGTCTGTCCTATTATTGACTATCTACAAGTACTGAATCATTATTTCCCCAACGTTTAAAATTTGGGATTTGCAATCTAAATCCATCTGGAAAATATTACATGAGTGAAAGCTGGTTTAGACGTTGACAGTGAAAGTCAAGCAAATCTGTCTATCTTGCTTTTTGTTTTGTTCCTTTTTGAATTCCAAAGTTCTGCAAGCATAGTACAATATACAGGTTTTTAGGATTATATTTCTTGTTGAGTCAGCTAGCAAGACAATCACTCCATTAGGACAGAAAATTTCAACTTTTTGTTTGGGGGACGTATTTGAGAAGGCTGAAATCACAGAGGCTAACCATTACAACAAGGGCAGCAAGTGGGGGAAGAATCAAAACACAGAATAATTAGCATTGAAAGAAACATATTGATTTATGAAGGAATATTTCTTTGTTGAGAGTTACTGTTGTCATTATTACTATTTCAACAATTTTTAGTCCAGGTGCCTAACTTTACTCCTATCCCCATCACACAATACTGTACATAATAAGGAGGCCCTGAAAGCCATGTGGAGCAGCAGTTGGTAAAAAACATTGATTTTTGAGTAACATTATTCAAGACCATAATAGTTGGAGATCCCCACATTCTTTATGGCCTATGATACAATAATAGATACACGTTGTCTTGAGGAGAACAGAAGCATAACTATTTCAACTCATTCACTGGTGATCACAATCAATTATGACGTTTTGCAATGAAAAGTACGATCCACTGTAGTTGGGGAATTGATATTAAAGAAATTAGAATCAAGATGGCATTGAGTTTTCAAATGAAGGCCCATTAAGTAAAGAAATGGTTGCATCATTAAGCTACTTATTTTTTAAAAGAATTAAAGAAGTGACCATTTAAATTTCATATCTGATTTTTTTCAAATATCAGATTTGGAATATGGCATTCTTAAAAGAGTAAAGGTATCAGAATGACAAACTCTAAGTCTTGAATGGAAAAATACTGGTAACAATACTACCATTTGTATGACAGAAATAGAGGTTTATCTGAACCAGTAAGAGAAAATTATATCTGAAAGTTCCTAAAACCATTTAAATTATAATGTGGCATCAGAGTAATTGCCCTAGAACTCTACATTTATTGGATTACAACTCTTATCATCATTAGGCAAAACAGCTGCTCTTGTCTAAGACATCTGGGTACCAAGTGGGGAAAGAGATTTTGAAGGAAAGAATATTCTGAAATATCAATATTCACCTTTCAGAGAAAGGAGAACAGAGAAAACAATGCAAACAATTGTAGAGAAAAATAATCAATATAGTCTTCATAACTTACTGGCAAAGACACGTCACTCTCGTCCCGAAACTCAGGTAAAGTCTCCAGGCAAAAAATCACAATGGAGATAAGAATGACCATAACGGAAATGATTGCAATGATGCGGGCAGCTTGGGAGCTCTCTGGATGTTCAAAGAGCAGCCACACTTGTTTGAAGAACTCTCTCTCAGGCATAGGTTGCTCTTCTTCCTTGATGAATCCTTCATCATCACGAAATTTGGACAGAGCTTCTTCACCCAGCTGATAGAATTTGAGTTCCTCCAAAAAAACATCAAGAGGGACATTGATTGGTCTTCGAAGCCGTCCTCCAGATTGGTAATAATACAGAATAGAGTCAAAGGAAGGCCGGTTGCGATCAAAGAAGTATTCATTACGCAATGGGTCGTAATATTGCAAACGGCGCAGAGGATCACCCAGTAAAGTATCGGGGAACTGTCTCAAGGTCTTTACTTGGGTCTCAAATCGTAGGCCAGAAACATTTATCACCACCCGCTCACAACAGTCCTTGTGGGAATGTCCCCCACAGTGGACAATGGGCTCACTTTCCCCTGCAGTCAGTGGCAATAGTTTCTCCATGGTAAAGCTGGCAGCTACAGAGAGCCTGAGATGATGTAGGAGGTCATGATTCGAAGTTCACCCAAATGCTGAGGCCTTCTGCAGAGAACTCCCAGTTCAGGTATTCTATCCTGTATCCTTTCCAATATCAGTCTATTCGCACTATTTGTATCTCAGCTGACATCTTTTCTCCTAATTCCCCTTCATCTATTTTCACTCTTTCGCTCCCTGCTTTAAACATATCAGCTCTACTTTCTAATTTACTTCTTTCCTCCTCCTTCTCCTTTTGCTATATCATTTCTTTAGTTCATGCCATCTCCTTTCTTTTCCTGCAACAAACCTTTCTGTTAAAGCTGGTTGTCTTCAGCCATGGATAATCACACGGCCATCTCAACACTACTCTCAAAATTGCTTTGGTATTTTCAAAGGGGTTATAGCCACAATTTAGATTCCCCCTCCCCAACTGTCCTTCTCTATGTCCCCTTTCTGAGAACACCCCTGTCTTCCAGTGTCAGCGTCAAGGTTTCTGCCTGTAAACACTTTCCCTAGACCTAGGGATATCAGATTGCCCCAGGACGTTACAGACTCTTGGCCCCCTTGCCAAAACCCCAGCACCGCCTCCAACTCCATGCCTAAAAGCAATCCCAACAGTACTCTGATCAGAAGAGAGAAGAGCTAAAAATAACAGAGTGACATAGGGGAAGGCAGAGTGCCCAGGCCAGAGAAAAAGGTGGGCAGGACACCTTCAGGAGAATACAGAAGATTACCAGTGAGAACTCTTGTGCTTCCCTATTAAGAGAAATAGTGCTTGAGCCTGGACATCCCAGTCTTTTAAAGCAGAATAGGACCTCATGAGTAATATATAAGAGTAAGCAAAGATTGAAAATTTGGATTCAAATGATACTCTGAATCATAGATTAGAGATTGAGAAGGTAATAAACTAAAACAAATTTGGGCTCTATCCTTCCCAGAAACTATCAAGTCCCTTCTGAGTTGTTTCAAGTCATGAGAGATCACGGACAACACAAATATACAAAGTGTTCTCCCCACCCACTGAATTGCCTAACAAGATTCTTAGTATTATTTATACTTATATTTGTTCCTTCTTATCTGCCTTCATTGTTTTTCTCATTTCTTTTTTTTTGGGGGGGGGAGGTTTCCTCTTTCATCAAATGCTAATTATCTTACAAAAACTTGATTCAGTTGTTTTCTCCCCTCCTCTGCATTTTAAGTATGCTTTATACAGACTGTATAACTAAGGTAACACAGTACAGTATGCTCTTTATGTACATCAGAGCAAATTTAGGAAAAAAATAAATACTAAATAAGCCAAAATACATTTCACAGTACTGAAATAGTCACCTATTGCTGCTGTTCAACAACTGACCTGAATGTCAGTAATGTTAAGGTGTTTACTTTCCTTTTTTATGGTTCTCTAACTTTAAATTGGACTTGGACAGAGCATCTCTTCAAGAAATAACTTCCTGAAATAGAGGGTTGTTCTTGAACATGCTTTTAGAGATGAAGGATTTCCCCTGCAGGACATATAACAACCCTGCACAGAAATGTTTTTGCTGCCTTTAGATATTTAACTGGTCTCCTCTTTGACCTGCCTTAAGATCTGATCAAAAACACATTTCTCTTCATTTTCTTTCAGGATGTTCTATTTGGCTCCTTTGATCATTTTCTTCCTGTTGCTAGCTTATAATTGCATACAGTATACTGTAGGTTTAACCCTCTCTTTGGCTTTCCATTTAGCTTATTGCAAAGTTGGCCCTGAACTTCTAACATCTCTTTTTCTCTCAGATTTGTTTGACTGTAAAAACATAAGACAGTCTGGTCATGTTTGTTCACATTATATTGTTCCAATACAATTTTAGATTATTTTAACATTAAGATGTAGCAATGTGATATATATACTTCAGGTGTTTTGTTCCTCATTCAAAAATATTCTCTATTAAAAAGAAAGCCTCCCACCCTACAAAAGATGTAAAGCAAGGCTTGATGTTCTGAATTGCAAGGAAAGTTTATGGAACCAGATCATGAACCAACACTCTTTTTCAGATTTGATCTATGTGAGCATCAATTTCTCCATTTAAAGAATTTTGTATTTTTAAAAAAGATTTAGCTCCTTTTTCTAGTCTCATGCCTTCTAACCTTTTATGTGGCTAGGATTCAAGATTTTTTGTTCTAGCCCATATTTTTCACACTGATTTGGAACAAATGACCATACTAGGTTTAATATTTTGCTAGCACTCCACAGATGAGAAATGTGCACATATTTTTCCTGCAGGGTCAGCAGTTAAAACCGGTCTACCGTAACTGGTCTTCTGAACAACTGCTGAGGTGCCATCTGGTATTTACTCAGAATTTTGCAGTCCATGTAGCAGTTCTTGGTTTTGAGTTCTGTGCTAAAGGCCATACTACATAAAGTTGTCAAGATCTGGATAAAAACTTTAAATTAACTAATTACAACAAATTAAGCAGAGCTGATATATTTGTTATAATCCTATTGGATGATTTTATGAAATAAATGAAACAAGCAACCGACATTGGTGTATTTCTCCACTCAGACTCCTTGGATATATTAGCAGAAACAAACTTCCATCAACATATAGTAGACTGGCAAAGATATGCCAAAATTCAAAGAATGGTATGCCTTAAGCATTCAGTGGAAATCTTTTCACCATTGCTAATCTTAAAGACTGCATTGTTGTTTGTGTGAGTGTATTTTAGGTGAACATAAGACCATACTTTACATTTTTTTTCAATTTATACATAGGAAAAACTAAACAGATCATTATCGATTTCAGAAAAGGCAAACCCAGCTACACACCTGTGTGTATTAATGATTGACCTGTGGAGGTGGTTAGCAGCATCAGGTTTCTGAGTGTGCAGCTAACGAGTAGGCTAGATTGGTCACTCAACAGTGAGGCACTGGTGAAGCAGGTACAGCAGCGCCTGCATTTTCTGCATCACATAAGAAAAGTACATCTTCTTTCTCCTGTCCTTACCACTTTCTATAGAGGAACGATCAAGAGCATCCTGTCATATTGCATTACAGTCTGGTTTGGAAGCATCACTGCTTCAGACAGGAAGGCAGTGCAGAGAGTGGTGAGAATGGCAGAAAAGATTATTGGTAGTTCATTTCCTTCTATCCAAGACATATTTATTTTATTTATTTATTTATTATTTTAATTTGTATACCGCCCTTCTCCCATAGGACTCAGGGCGGTTCACAGCATATTAAAAACAAATAATAAACACAAAATACAAAAAATTACAAAATACAAAAATACAGAAAATAAACCCCGATAAAAGCCGAATTAAAACCAAATATTACAAGCTGTGTTTCCAATTAAA